TGTTGTGGCTTGATCTTCCTAATCCCGGGGAAACCCGGGTAGGTAAAATGTAACACGCAAATCCCGAACGCCTTATTCACCTCGATTTTAATCGATGAAATTCAGCCGTATTAAGGTCTTATTTGCGAAAAAGTGAAAAACAGGGCTAAAAAGTTAAAAGACGGGCCTTAAAAGTGGATAAACAGGTTTTGGCATCCTTGACCGATCGCCATATCAAACGGAAAATGTTTCCATAACTCACCTGCCCAGGGCAATTGGCTATTCACTTAAGTAATATTGCGACAGTCTCGTCACCAGGACAGTGGCGAACGGGGAAGGACAAATTGCTTCAGCAAAAATTGCTTTGACCGGGTTGTCATCGCCTTCTCTTCATTATGTACTTTCCGACAATGACTTCACCCTTGACATCAATAATCCAAAGGGACCTAAGATCGTCACCATTGGCAACAATCCGGCAAATATCCAGATCTATGGTGCAGTAGCGTCCTGTCCATCGACAGGATGATCAAGCAGGTCAAACCGGAAGAATTGAACGCATGAATATCGTGATAGATGAGCTGCCCAACATTGTACTAAAATCGCTGGGCACCAGATCCAATCGCTTAGCTGCTTTTGGGGCCATTCAGAATATAGAGCGGTTGCGCAAGGACTGTGGCCGTGAACAGGCCGATGTGATCATCAATATCATAGGTAACCTGATCGTTGGGCAGGGAACTGGCAAGACGGCAAAGCATTTCTCACAGCTATTCGCAAAGACGTTTGCAGGACAGGGAAAGCCTGTCCTGCAAACGTACGGATACTTCTATTTCCAAGTCCAAACAGTTGGAGGCCGCCATAAGTCCATCTACCATTTCAAGCCTTTCTCCTGGTGAATTTGTGGGCATTGTATCCGATAATCCAGACAGTAAGATCGAACTCAAAACCTTCCATTCCGAAATATTGAACAACCATGAGGGCATAAAAAAGGAGACAGATGCCTATAAGCCGATACCTCAGATACGTAATGTAGATGCCGGCATGATACAGGCCAACTATTACCAGATCAAGAAGGATATCTCCCAGATCGTCAGCTATGAATTGGGCCGTATGAGGGATGATCCGTCATTGCAGCACCTTATCATTAAAAGTTAGATGGCCACGCATTAGGGAACCGAAGTAGATGATAGCAATGCTACGAATTCAGCCACATAGGTCGGTCCTTCTCTTCGGAGCGGCCATAAAAATTCCGCAATAAACACAGGAATGCGCACAAGACCATCATTGATTTGCGTTGCTTTTGGCCTAGCTCGATGCAAAAGCGTGTTGTTTGCTTATCACATATCAATTCTAACTGCCACTCTTTTGTGCCGGAAGTATACATGCATAATATACACACCCTTAGCTAGGTCGGAAGTATCTATGATGTTTTTTGTTTTATCCGTTGAGATAGACCGTATTAATTTACCCTGGATGTCATACAGCTTCATCGAT